ATTGAAAGCTGAAATCTTTCTTTTTAATAATATACTAGGTGGCCGCCTGCAAAATTTTTTAATAAAAAATTTTTTATTTAGACAGAAATACAAATTAGAATAATTTATTATATTTTTAAATGATTAATTTGTACATAATCAATTAACAATTTTAAAAGGTAAATCTAAAATTTAATAATATTTTAAAAACTACGTTAACATTTATTTACTAAAAATATATTTTTTGTAAAAAAAAACCTTTTAATTAAAATGCATAAATAATCTTAAATGAATATAACTTTTATGTCATAGAATTTTAAGTTAAAAAAATAAAAAATAAATCTATTATACAATAAAGTAGAATCTAAGAGAAGATATGTAAATCACATGAAAAATACATTATATATTGAGACATTTAATAAGAAGTCAAGAAGTTAGAAAGGAGTAAAAACAATGTAACAAAAAAAGGCATCATAGGTTAACAAGATTTAAAATCATATTAGAAATCATTCAGATAGAATAGAAGATTATATCATCTATCACTTCCTATTACTACTTCTGGTCATCTATTATATTAAAACAGAAGCACATTTAGTACTTGCTTTCAAATACTCCTAATTTTTTTTAAGTGTTTAAAAATAATTTTAATAATTATTTATATTTAATTTCGAAAATTAGTTATTAATTTAAATATTTTTAGAGTTCCTTAAATATAGGTAATTTAGATTTGATTTGATTTGATTAAAAATAATAAATCAGATATTAATTTAGATTTGATTTAAAGATTCTAATTTAAATAATTTCTATACTATTAAACATTTTTATCAAAAATATCTAGAATTTTTGAAAACAAAATTCACATATAAAAAATAATGGTCATACTTGAAATATAAAATATTTATAATGATGTAACTGATATGATATTTATGTTGCTTATATAATATATTTATGATTATGATTTATTTACAAATTAATAATAAAATAATAGGTAAAAATCAAATGTATAATTTAAATATTAAAAATATATATTTTAAAAATTCATAGAACTAAAAATATATATAAAAACTGGGTTAAAAATATTTTGGTAACTAAAATCACTAATTTTGAATTGGGACCCCTTTTGAATTATACATGTATATCGAAAATATATTTTCATACAAAATCAAAACATAAAAAAATTAAAAATTATGCATACACTATAATGTGGTTTGAAAAACCAGTTGTACACTCCATTCGTTGATTAAATTTTAGAAAACTATAATGCTAAATAATACTGTTAATACATCTCAAACTTTTAACAAATATTTATATTATACGGTAATATGAACGGAACAGTTAGAATTATGTTTTTATAACAATTCATTTTGAATTAATATTAGTGGACGGGTTAAAATTATAGTTTTATAATCATAATTAATTTTAATACTATAAAAATATATCTAAACACAAAAATCAATATTTTCACTTATTAAAAAATATATTTATAAAAATAATTATATCTAAACTCAAAAACACAAATTATATTACAAAATTCGTTAAACAATAAAAATATTCCCGTGCAGATGCACATGGTTAGAATCTAGTTTTTCTTAAATCTCTCACCAATCTGTAAAAAAGATTGAGACTCATTAATTACATATATTACAGTCCCGTAATTCTTGGGCGTTAAGCACAGAGACATATAGGTATATATACCGTTAAAAAGCTAATTTGTCGAAATAGAGAAAATAATTTTAAGGTTTCAGACTTTCACAACAACTAAACGCCTTTTTGTTAGAGATGTCAAACGGGCCAGCCCGCGTCCAAATAACCCAATCCGATGCGGTTTTATTTTTTGTTGGGCCTTGCGGGCTGGCCCATCGCGGATTGCGGTCCCAAAATCTATTGTCCAAGCCTAACCCGCCTATAATCTACGGGTTAGCGGACTGACCCGCGGATTCCATATATTTTTTCTTTATAATGCTCATCTTTGTAATTTACGTTAGACTATCGATATTAAACAACAAAAGCAACATCAAGTCTATTCTCTATACTTTCATCTTTACGAGATTTTGGTAAGTGAATGGATTTGAAGTTCATCAAAAGCCTTTCAAAAGGATATAGTCCAATTACAAAAATCTTAATCAAAGAAGGATATAGTTTAGTTGCTCGTGTCTATGTTGTATGAAGCAATGATTTTGAATTAAAACAACAAGCATCGTTCAACTTAAAAGCAATATTTTGAAACTATCACCAACAATCCAATAAAAAAATTTCAAGAATCAGAGAAGCAAAAGAAGAATAAAATCTAAGAAAGTATCAAAGTAACATAGGCTAAAACCAGAGAAAGCAAGATAATAAAAAATCCTAGAAGAAATGAAATTCAACCTAAAACTTTTAACTTAATTCTCAAATTCAAGAAGCAAACCAAAGTTGATAATTCTTCAATTTTCATCTTCATCCTCAGCTTCATCTTCGTCCTCATCTTCATCATTGAGAATGGATTGGAAAGATGGTAATGTCTTATCTTCACTATCAGATTCTTCTTCCTCCTCTGCATATATGATTAAATTAAGTTACTGAACCAAATTATGATTAAATAAGTGTAAAAATTTTGACAAAAATTTGTTTACCATTTTCATATGCTTCAAATCCCTGTAACCAATTGCGACTGCATATTAAAGCTTGCACGTTTTTGGGAAGAAGCCGGCTTCTGTATTTGTTCAAAACACGAGCTCCAAAGCTAAAAGAGGATTCTGAAGCTACTGTCGTGATGGGTATACTAAGCAGATCGCAAGCCATTAAAGAAAGCTCACCATATCTTTTTGAGTTAATTTTCCAATAATCCAAGACGTCGAGATCGATCTCGTCTAATGCCGGTTCATCAAGATACAATTCCAGAAAAGTCTTCCCACTAACAGCAACACTTGACCTGCGAAAGGCTAAGAAATCCTGAAAGCAAAAAAAAAACAAAAAACTGTAACTACGTATTTATAAACTAAAAGAGAAAACGTGAAGCAAAGCACAGCATGAAGCAAAGCTTCTACAAAGATTAAATAAATGTTGAACAGAAACGTATAGCACACTTGCAAACAAAAAGACGAAATAAATATTTAAACGTGGTGCACACTTGCAAACAAAAAGACGAACGAAATATTTAAAAGTGAAGCACACTTGCAAACGTGGAGCACACTTCCAACTCAACTATAATGTATACTAGTTCATAAGAAATAAAACTTGCAAACTTAATCCAGATAATAAGACACATAAATAACATAAAAAACTACTTACATCGTAATTCATAAAGCTCCCAATTTGTGCTCCATCTTTTGCATTAGTTTCTCGTGACTGTGTAGATGGTGATGGAGATTTCGTCCTTTTCTCATATGATTCAAAAAGCACACGCAGTTTAGTACGCAAGTTTTCCATCTTGGCTTGATAAGTTCTCACATCAAGCTTTGCAAAACAAAAGTCCACAAGTGTAAGCTTTAACCGTGGATCAAAGACGGTAGCCATTGCAAAAACATCACTGAAAACTCAAAATTTATGTGGTTCGACCCCTAAGTATTACAACGCACATCTGTGCACTTGCGGATATTTAGGGTTTATAAATTTAAAACGTGAAGTTAGAAGTAACCCTTGCATCATGTAACATCACGAGGGAGTTTATAAACCAAAATATAAAGAATAAGAAAAAGAAGACAAAGCAGAAAGATTTGAGGATATGAAAACGAGACAATGAAAATCGAAAGAATAATAAGCCAGAGAATGAAAACGATGAAAATGGAAAACCGATAGAAAAGACAGAAACAAACTAAAAAAGAAAGAAGAAGAATAATATTTGAAGAAGACAAATATGATAAAAAAAAAAAAAGTAGAAGTCAAAAACAACTAAAAAACACTTACAACAAAATGGAGAGGGAATTTTAGCTATAGAGAGATTAATAAAAATTTAATCAGAAATAAAAAATCATCTGTAATTACAATGCGTGAGTGAATAAAACATTATTGGTTGTAATTTTTTATAAATAATATTTAATTTTTATTGGTCGAAAATCTAATAATCTAATATTATTGTTATATTTGTGATTGGTTTTTTACTAACAACAAATTTAATAACTTAATAATTTAATTAGCTTATGAAACCTATCCATCTGCGCAAGTGCAGACTAAAGAACTAGTTACCTCGAAACTGTTCATCAAAGAAATTCCTTATAAAAATAAATCCTTTCTTTATTATTTTCTGATATTTAAAATCTCTCATTTTCAATATAATTAAACATCAGAATATTTCAGAATTATAGGTCTGGGTATTTTAACCAACCCAAACTTTTAGGTTTTAGGTTTCCGTTCATTTTGGAAGTTCAAACCGATCGTTACCTTTCAATTGGTTATCGGTCCAGTTTGGTTCAGGAGATGGAACCGATCGGTTCTTTGGTGTTTATTTAAAACCGATTATACCAAATTATATTGGATTTTACAAACATTTAGGAAAACATTCTTGAAATTGTAAACCGAATATAACTGAAATTATCCAATGATTTAATTGAATTTATCACAAAATGAAAATTTCGGTTGTATTCAATAGAATTTTTAAAAACCGAAGTACTCGATCATTGAACCAAACTGATCCGTAATCTTTTTTGTTTGATTTTAGTGAAATTTTTTATTGAGCAAAACGGTTCAATTAACCCGAATTCTCAGGACTAGTCAGAACAAAGCTTTTCTGCAGAAAATCAAGTTGCTTAACGAACAATCTAGTTGAAGAAAGAGGGGATAGGTGTAGTTGTATTTGTTCTACTAAAAACCTACGACTTCTTCAAAGTCAAAACGTCAGATGAACAAAGCCGAACCAATCATTACGACCCAACAAAAATGATTATTCAAACCTATAATACATTAATACTCTCCGTCACGATCAAACGTGAGAAGCACTTCACCCAAATAATAATTTTTTTATAGCATAATGACTTCTTCCCCTACCTTCAACATGGAGTTGATCAAGAGATGATCAACATTCAAAAAGAAAGCCCAATCGCAGCATGACAATCCGAAAGATTCCAATCCTGCTTTGTCATCATGCTGTCTACATATTGTTGCTTGTTCTCCAAGTCACAGGCCAGCCGCAGACTGAAACCACTGGTCCATATGGTCCACAACTAAGAAGACAAAACCAAGTACCAGCGGTAATAATTGGAATGCTTATGTTCACGCTCTTATTCAGCATCCTCGCTTGCTGCGTTTGCTATAAATACACAAACACATCTCCTCCTGGAACAAGCTCTGATACCGATGAAGGAGGTCGTGCCGGAGGAGCAGCGTGGACAAGGAGGACAACCCGTGGACTTGAAAAGGATGTCATAAAGTCGTTTCCTTCCTTTCTTTACTCACAAGTTAAAGGGCTAAAGATAGGCAATGGTGGCGTGGAATGTGCCATCTGCCTGAACGAGTTTGAGAACGAGGAAACGTTGCGTTTGATGACTCCTTGTAGCCATGCATTTCATGCTGATTGCATCGATGTCTGGCTCTCTTCTCGCTCTACTTGTCCTGTTTGTCGCGCCAATCTCGCTCCCAAACCGGGCAGTGATCAAAGCCTTATATATCCATTTATACGCCCACATATCAATCAAGATATTGATCTTGAAACAGGAAACGCACGAAGAAGTGTCTTGGAATCTCCAGACATGCGTTTGTTAGAGGGATTAACATGGAGCAGTAACAACAAGACAAACAGACCACCCCGATCTAGGTCTACAGGGTCATCCAACTGGCGAATAACGGAGATACTATTCCCAAGATCTCATTCTACGGGGCATTCTCTGGTCCCACTAGGAGAGAATCTAGACAGATTCACGTTGCAGTTACCAGAAGAGGTAAGGAGACAGTTGAGTCACAGGTCGCTACCACAAGCTAGGAGTTCAAGGCGAGGCTATAGAAGCGGTAGCGTTGGGAGCGGAAGGAGAGGTTTTCCTGATGGACGCCGAAATAGTCGACGGACCATTTCTCTTTCTTTCTCTTTCTCATTTCAAACTGCCTCTGTTCAGTCAGCAAAAGGAAAGGAGAAAGAGTTTGGAGAAGGGTCATTTGAACGCCTTAAGCCAGAGATGGCCTCCTCTTAAATTGGTGACTATATAAAGTTTTCATTCTGATCACAAGGTTAGGTTATACAGAATTTGGTTTGGCGTAACTATGAAGCCTTAAAAAAAAAAAACTATGAAGCATTGCATGTAGCTATATGTATGTATACTAATTAAGTGTGTGCAGTGAAACTAGAACAGAAGAGTGCCTAAACGATACTCTCAGCCGTATTGTACAGTTTCTATATGGATCCTATTAACAGTATCTAGTTATCTACTTATGAAATTTATGATTCTCCATCATCTCATCATCTCATTCATCATCTTCTTATATATATCTCACTAATTTTCATTAAATGTACATATATTCTTTCTTTAATTATGACTCTTTGTCTCTGTATAAATGTACATGTAATCATCTATTAACATTAATACAATACATTCATCACATTATTATGGTATCAGAGCAAGTTATTTGTGTGGTTTTTGATCCACTGATAGAACTTCCTATGCTACTATTTTGTCAACACATTTTTCTTCTATTTCTTTTAGAGGGTTGTGCTCCTTGTTTTTCATCTCTTATGCCAAAAGCTTCTTCTATACCTATAACTTCCTTTTAATCAGATAAGGTTTACTTCGAGCTTTGATCTAACAATCAAACCTACTTTTTCGTTTTTCTTTTAAGTTACTGAGCAAATATTCTTTTTAATTTGTGCTATTTTCTAAGCCAAGTGCTTTCACATTCAAGCTCATCATGAGCCTCTGAATCAAGCCATCTAGCTTCTTGTAATTAATGTGTATTCATAACCCTTTTTTTCCTTAAAAACAAAATTGTTCTCCTAGGCTAATCAATAATATTTGATCATTTTTCGAAGCTTCTATTTCGGCTTTATCAACCCAAACTCAAAAAAAAAAAAAAAAAAAAATTGTCTATTTGTCTGTTCGTCAAATCCTACGGCTACCTTTGTCACTTCTTCATCTTTCAACCGGCTTCAAATTCTCATTACCTTCAACTTCAACCATCAAGCATCACGATCTCATCACCACATCTTGGATACATCAGATCCAACCCACAACTGACCACGCTGGTGTTCCCCTAGATACATCCGCCTTTGATGCAACATCATGAATAAACATCCTTACATCACATCTTAATTCTCAGCGACCGATCAATTATTGGAGACTCTTATGAAGACACTTACGAAGCTTCTTACTCGTGCAACGTTTCACTCTTAGAGTCAAAATTTGAGTTCCATCAGTACCTCCCTTTTGTGGGGGCATATTGAGAGTCTTTTGATTTTACTCTGGATTTGCTGTTTTAAATTTCAAAATCTGTAATTTGTAAAGGCCAAATTAAAGAAAACTATACCTTTATTGAACCATTACAAAACGTTAAAACAATTTGGTATAGTTTTCTCTAGTTTTGATTATCTTTTTGGCGATTCCAAAATAATAAGAATCAAAATTTCTCTTGGATTATTTTGTATATTTGGAAGGCTAAAAACATAAAATTTTCTCAATCTGGATAGAGATCCACAAAATATTCTTAAGATTACAGAAACTATGACAATGGAATAAAGACAAATTAGAGAACTATCCCAAAATTATATTCTTTCTCCGATCTAATGATTTTGGGTTATGAGGGAAATTATTGTTATGTTGATAGCTCATGAACGGAAACCGATAATTGTTTTAAGATTAGAATGAATAATTTTTCAAGCAGGTGTAGAGAAACTTCTTTGTAGAGAAAAACTTCTCTCTTTTTACACGCTTAATTAATTGCACTCAAATGATATATGTGTTGTATGATTGCAAATTAGAAATAACAACATGTTTCACAACAAACTAATCTTTATCTTATATATAAAACTTGGCCAACTCTCTCCAGTTGAGTGACACATCAGCGCTGGAGAGAGCGCCACCTGTCATCTTCAAACATTAATAAAATAAATAATTAATTATATTTAAAGCAAACAAATTAAAACACATTAAAAATATTAAAACATTTTAAATTACATTAAAACACATTAAAGCACATTAATAAATATTAATATATATTTATATTAGAATGAAATTCAAATTTAATTTAAACATATACAAACGTATAAATATTATATAATACAAGACTTTTTAAATGCACAACTCTATTTTTTAAAAATGTTTTAAAAATTATTTATAAACTAAAAAAATTAATTAATTTTTAATGCAAGTGAAAACAAATTATGAAACTAAATAACTCAAATAATATTATATAAAAATTCAACTAATAAAATTATAAAACACAAATCATATTTAATAAATGATTAAAAAGATAAAAGTTATTAAAAAGTAATAGTAAAAAGAAAGGTATCCACATAAAAATGTCATCTATGATTTTTTTTTAAACAATAAAAAAGATGGAATCAATAAAATATATATAACCAAAAAAAATTCAAATGATAAATTAAGAAATTAACAAGTATTATATTAGTAATTTATAAGAATAAAAAGAATATAAAGATCGAAGAAAAAATGAGACTATTTAATACAACTGGTGTAAAAAAGATTACATATAATGTATCGTCAAGAAGAGATCGAAGAAAATATAAATATTTTAGAAAAAAATATATTAATAAGCAAACATAAAATTCAATAAAAAATATTTAAAATATATAAATTAAAATAAGATCCGCGCATATGCGCGGGTTCTCTCCTAGTATTACTAAAGCACAAATCATTTGTGCTATTACAAGTTGACATGTGGCAAGCAACAAAAAAAAATCACGTCAAAAACAACAAAAAATAAATATTTAATCCTAAAAATCTCTAAATTTTCTCCCACTACTTCACAATATCTTTTCTTCTATCCAAGTTCTTCTATCATATCAGGTTTTCAATTTCAGGTCTCTCTCTTCTTCTTCATTGATACATCTATATTCATCTTTTTCTTTTTTTTTTGATTCTGATCTTTGATTCTGATTTTTGTTTTTAAATATTTGTCATAGTACAAGAACTAATTTGAGACAGACTTATGCTTACTTTCTATTCAGATTCATTTCATTTTTTCTTCCGCATATTAATATTCTGATTTTTTTTTCTGTGTGATTCAGGTGTCAACCATTTACTGTTATTGTATCAGAGATTTATTTGCAAGAGTCTGGTTACAGGTAATCGTTCAACTGCTTCTCTCTCATTTTTTCTTTTTCGGTTTTCTTTGATGGAATGAATGTTCTATGACTAATGTAATATTTTATTTGTAAAAAGTTATTTAAATGAAAAAATTAACCCATGCATAGCATGGGTGATAATACTAGTAGAATCTAAACTAGAGGAGTGGTATAAATCTTTTTACTACTTTTGGAGTAATTTTTGAAGTGCAAGAAGGTGATTTTTTTACTCTTTTTCACAGCTGTAAACTTTTGAAGTAAAATCTTTTGCAGCTATTTTTTTTTACTTCTTTTTCTTTATATTTTCATACTGACGCGTAAATAACAAATAACAAAAAGATATACTAATTAATATGAAATGTTCAAATCTACTTGCATGATATTATGTATGTACATTCGTTATCTCTGTTTAGACTTTTGAATCGTTCTATATATTTTTATTGCCAACAATAAAAAAGATCCTTTTAATTTTCCTTTTTAATTCTATAAGAATATATATATTTTTGAAATTTAAGATGTTTATCTACTGATAAATTTTAGAATATTTAATTAATTTGTTTAGTTTTTCTTTGATGTATTTAATTATTTTTTTATTATTGTTTAGGGGATTTTTAGTCCTCTGGAGACAAGTATCCTGCAAAACAAAAAAAAACGTCAGGGCCCAAAAAATACGATGGGGAAGGGGGGGGGGGTGTGTTTTCCGAAAGCACTCAGATGCTCAAGTCAGAAAACAGCTTAAAAAGACTACAATATAGCTGTCTGGAGAGCACAAAAAAGTCGGAAAACTTTACGAAACAAGGTCAACCGAGAGTCCTTGAGAAAGGCAAGATCTACTTGGGCCTTAGGATGAGAATGTGTTTTTTATGGTGAAAAGAGAGAAAATAAAAGTTTGAGAGTGAATGAGCTCCACAGTTTAGGAACCGCCGTGGAGGAGAGACGAAGTGAGATGAGCGGAAACATGGTCGGAAAGATGGTCGAAATTGTGTAGAATACCTGGACTTAAGAACCACAAGTATCTAGAGAGATATCGTGAGACTTAAGATGACCAATAGTGTGAACTCCTTCCCCGTAGGAAAGATAAAATATTTATAAAAAATTACCTGACCCAGGTTGGCCCATAGATTGTAGATCAGGTGGATCAGCCTATGACCCGACTCGACTGAATTTGAATCTTGTGATGGCGTCACGCCTCTGATGGTCTCACCAACTTTCCTTGGCGTGTTCTGCCTGCAACGAGACCGTCTCTTGGCGCGTCCCTTTGTTTATCAGTGTACGAGTTTGGTTGGCGGCTCAGACGCGGTATGGCTCTTTTCTTAACTTCTGCTTTTCCACATGGCTCCTGCAAAAAGTCACTTTCACCTGACACACGTAAGAAAAACACATTAAATGTCAATTTTGTAGGCTTGTAAGAGTATGGGAAATCAAATCAGACTAAGGCATGTTCTTATTGTTGATTGGGGGGAAATTTTAAAAGTATTCCCGCTCAAATGAGTTATTCATACATGGGCCGGATCCCTCGATACTGGGACCAGGCTGCCGAGGATAGAAGAATTTGCTCTCCGGGTACCTGTGCGAGCCATTCTTCCTTATATCCAGAGCTTTTCGGATCACCGAGTTTAGATCTAGGACATGGAGAATGTGACTTCTCTTCCTCCTGACCACTCAGTTTCTAACTTTCTTGTTTCTGACAGCATAACCTGTGCTGTCAGACACAAGTAAAGAGTCCGGGAAAAAGTGGCCCATCATGCCGGATCTCCTAAATCAAACTGCATTCGTCGCCCTGTGCTATTTGGTTATGCCCAATACCGGTCCTTATTTGGCTCGGAGGGCCGCGCCTACAAAAAAATCATGATGTGGAAGCTATCCTTGCTGGGAACAAACGCTTTCCCCCCTGAGGTGCATGACGCCTTTTCGATGAAGGACTCGATGCCTGAGTCATCCGCCGTGGACAGCATGATCTGGGGCAGTGAGTCCAAATATAGGATGTGTTGCCCGAGTCAAACACCGTGGGTGAAATGACCTGGGACTGTGGGTCACGAAGGATGCGATGCCTGAGTCACCTACCGTGGGCGAAATGACCTGGAGCCGTGGGTTCGTAACATGGATACACATGGCCTGGCCATCAGTCAGTTTCCAAAGGGGGTGCCGTCCGGCAAGTCCGTTTGCAACGAGACTGTCTCTTGGCGTGTATCTTTCGTTCTCAGTGTACGAGTTGGGTTGGCGGCTCAGACGCGGTATGGCTATTTGCTGAACTTCTGCTTTTCTCCCTGGTTCTTGCGAAAAGTCACTTTTACCTGACACACACAAGAAAAACGTATTAAATGCTATTTTCGTAGGCTTGTAAAAGTATAGGCAATCAAATCAGATTAAGGCATATTCCTATTGGCGATTGGAGGGAAATTTGAATAGTATTTTCGCTCAAATAAATTACTCATACTTGGTCCAGATCTCTCGATATTGGGACCAGGCTGCCGGGGATGGAAGACTTTGCTCTCCGGGTATCTGTGCGGACTACTTTTCTTTATATCCCGACTCTTCTGGATCACCGAGTTTAGGTTTAGGACATAGAGAATGTGACTTCTCCTCCTCTGACCACTTAGTTTCTGACTTCCTTGTTTCTGACAGCGTAGCCTGCATTGTAAGATATGAGGAATTCGAGAACAGGTGGTCTATCGTGCAAATCTCTCGAATCTAACTAGATTATATTCGAGGTTCGATGCTATATACTTAGGCTATATTTGACCAGAGGTCCAATACCAGTCCTAGTTTGGCCTAGAGGATTATACCTACAAAAAAACCATAGACGCTACGTACTAACATGATTCATCTACGTAGAAAAAATTGAATTTATTCCAACAATTATTTAATTAAGACCAAAAATGCCTTAACACAAAAACAAAATTTACCAAAAAATAGGGTATTTTTCAAATTTATAAACTTAAATAAATAGGATATTGTTTTTGCGAAAAAACAATCATTTTTATTAATTACCAGCTTAAACTAAACCGGTAACATGATCTTATAGGTAAATTTCCAACACAATTAAACCGGATTTTTTTTAGTAGGTCCCACCATCATCATCTTCTTCACCATGGTATCTTACGGCTGAGCTTGGCGGAGAAACGGAAGTCTCGATACTGCGATTTTACGTTTTTCCGATGACTTCCACCTTAATCTCCTCAATCTTCTCTTCTTCTATCTTACCAGCAGAAAATCGCGGCCGGGTTCGAATGCCGGGGACTTCAATCTCTGGAATTAACAATGCTCGCGCATTGAAACGACGCCGTTCCAAAATCGTCGCCAAATCACTCGATCTTCCGCTTCTTCCTTTCAGCATGAGCGAGGTTTGCACACCATAAAACCTAATACCTTAAAAAAAATTTCCTACTTTAGTTCTTGCTTTAACATATGTCACAGGTTCTTGTCCCAACGGAGAGTAAAACGCTGCATTTGTATGAAGCAAGGTACTTGGCTTTACTTGAAGAGGTATATACAACGATCTATGAAAGTTCCAATTTTCTTAATATGAATTCAAATTTTATGGGGTTCTTTTGTTCTTGTTGCTCTGTTTTGTGCAGTCGATGAAAAGAAAGAAGAATATGTTTGTTCATTTCATTCTTGATCCTATTTCGATTAGCGAGACAGCAACAGAAGCATCCTTTGCTGCTAGATATGGTTGCTTGGTTATCATTGAAAACGTAAGCTTTTGCTCAACAGAGATTTTTAATATGTAATGTGTTGTGATGAGTCAAACTAAAACCCCACACATTTGCAGGTTGAGAGATTAGACATCGGTGCACTCGTCTCCATAAGAGGCGCTGGCCGCGTAAAGATTTCTAGGTTTTTAGGGGTAAGAATGCAAAATTGTGAAGTAATCTTTGGTTAAACGATAACTTTAGGTAACGACTAAAAATGTGATAGTTTATCATTTAGCCTAGAACTAGACGGCGAGCTATACTCTGTTTCAGTACAGCCTTAGCAAAAACAGAAAATGTTATTCGAGCTAATGGGACGTGTTGGTGCGAAGAATGAATCAATTTATATGCTTCCTTATGTTATGAAACAATTGGATTTTCTTTCCTTTCTTAGGGCATTTGGTTGTTGTGATTGGTTAGGTTCTTATCGAAGATCAAGTCTTTTGCTTATAGAAATTGTTTTAAGTTGTTTTCTTCATATGGAATAAATTTTTATCAGAAGATGTTTTGTTTGACTATGTGACTATTGTCTCAGGCAGATCCTTATTTGTCAGGAGAAGTCAGACCAATACAAGATCGTCTGAATAATGAGAGCAGCAATGAAATAACCTCAAAAATCTCCCAGCTAAAGGAATCTATTAAGAGTCTCAACAGCTTGGAGATCAAACTTAAGGTGCAAACCTACTTTAAAGCTCTCTAAGCTTCACTTGGAAACAACTGTCCTGTACTATGAAAATAGAAAGTGGAAAGTTGTCTAAAATTTCGCTATGTAGTGTAAAGATCTTTTACTGTAATGTTCTCAGAAGTTGTAGTGTTGGATTATCTCCTTATGCAACAGACTCCAGAAGACTCTCCGTTGCAAACCCGTCTCTATAACTCCCTAAACTGGGCTGAAGATGAAACACCAGTAGAATTTGACGAATCATTCTATCCTCCCCTTCAAGAACGTGTATCATTCGCTGCTTTTCAACCCGTTTCCGGTAATTTCACATCTTTTCTCTCTTTGTCTTCTCAAGTTTCCGGAACTGTTTTCATTTGGAAGCTATCAAAGTTCACATCATAAGAAAGTTAGAGTTTCCCAAAGCAGTTTGATTCCTCTAGAAGTGTGCTGAATACAGGCTTTAGCATTGATAATGGCAACGAATCTCTGTATCTTTTGGGTTTTCTTGTTTGCAGGATCGACTCAGTCGGAACTATCAAGGTTACAACAAGAAAAATTAAAGGCAATGGATATGAAAGACACAATAGAGAGGTTAGAACTATCAATGGCACTCATCAAGGAGAACATTTCCTCAGTTGCAGCCAAACTCGCCATCCAATATTTGGATATTCGTTAGACTATAGTAGTCTCTCATTGTAAATGTGTGTTGATCGCCCAAATTAGTGAATATACTCTACAGCCAAGAAAAATGTATATTCTACAACAATAAAATAAATCACCTTGAAGGTTAGGCTTCCTCTTCATTCCTAAAAAATTACACATTTACACATTACTCTTCATTCCTTCAAATAGTACACATTTATAAGAATTTTATTTTTACACATGAATTGACACATTTTTTCTAACCAATATTTGTTTTCAACCCATTTTTACATTTTTTACAATTCAAGACACCAAACCCCTTAAAAATCCTTTTTTTTTGTTGTAGACTTTCTTACTAATTCTTTATACAAACTTTTTGCAAAAACACAAGGATTATATTCCATGTGACTCGACACCCTAAGTGATATATCGCACTGTTATACACTTATTAGATAATTAGGGTTTATAAATTTTCTTACCTGAAGCTGAGAGAGAACCCGACAGCCTTAGCAGCATCAACCCACAACCACAAAATTAACAGCCTGGCGCTCTACCAAGTATATTACAAGAATGGTTTGAGTACGAATTTGAACATCCAAATTGTTCAAGATCTAATTCATACCACTTAGAAGAGTTAAAGCAGGAATTAGCTGTTTCCCTAATTTTCAAGTATTTTTAAGTATCAAAGTCGTTTCACATCATTTACGCAAAAATAGCACAAATTGGAGCAAAACAAGATTTAGGCCATTTGTGCAACGTCAAAGTTTATGATCCTGTGAAATCCTTACCACCATCCCATCAAGTTGAATTTTGGAGATATGATGTGATCCTCAATCAAGGATCGGCACAAAGAATCTTATAAGAGATATAGATTGGAGACAAAAGTTGCGGAATAAACTTTTATTTTGAAAAGATGAATCGATAAAGATGTTGCTCAGCAGCGAATCGATCATAAGAGGTAGATGAAAAATGATAAAGATGCTGCATGCTGCACAAGACAGCGAATTACTCTCAAATGAGAATTTTCGACCAGTTTTGCTTAAAGAAAAAGAGTTTATTTGATAAAGTTTGATGATCCAATCCAAAAAAAAATTCTACAAATAAATTACAAGGTTATTTAAAGAGAAAAGATGAGTAAAACTAGTCAAACTCAAAAATTACAAGAAAATAAATGCAAAGGTTGAATAACTCTTTAAGTCACCTTCTCCTAGCCTCTTGAACTTTTTTGGCTGAATTTGTGTTGGCTGGGCTTGAAAAATTCATCAACAAACTTGGGCTTGAGTAAAGTGATCACTATTGACTCCTTAAATACTTTTCTTTGGAAAACCTATCGGGACAAAACCAAATGCAAGAAAAAAAATATAACTGGTACACTTAGTCATTTGTTGAACTTTTTGGGCCTGAATCTAAACCAGAAAGGTTTGTAATTCATCTTCTCCAACCTGGCCTAAGAAATCTCTATGATTATGGATTTTGATAGGTAAACCACCAAAGGTTTCTTTGAGTTTTTTGGCTTTATTTTTGGTCATGAGTTTGTAAGGAACAAGCAATATCTCCTCGTCTTCATGCTCATCCACTGGTACAAGCTCAGCTGCTAGCTCATTTTCAAGCTCCTCTTTCTTGGTGTTGCTCAGGATCACAGCAAGATAAGATAGAGGTTTGAATTAGCTTTCATATATATGATATGGAGGTGGTGTTAACAATTCGATGGTGAGATCACACATTATGACAAATTTACTGAAAGCGTGTCAAGTAGTCTGACAGATAAAGCAATTGTGGAACGAAAACATGACAACACATGACTTATCCCGCGATCACAAGGCCTATGACCAGGGCAGAAGACCTCATCCCGCGATCACAAGGCCTATGACCAGGACGGGATCCGAAAATTTGGGGATCATAAACAATTTTTAAAAAATATTAATAATTTTTTTTGGAATTTAGAGACCAAAATATTCATGTTTAACCTAAAAAAAAAATTGAAGGCCAAAAAAATATTTCATTTAATTGTGCCCAGATCCACCTCTGCCGGGGAGGAATGGTCGCAGGATCAGTGCTTGGACCATTTTCAACCCTATTTCAGTTCATTTGACGAATAATCGAATACTTTGCCCTTTTCAATTTTCCTCAATTTTAGATGACCTTCCAAGACCTATAAACTATAAATACACCTTTTTCGATATAAGCCACCACAAAGCAGCATCAACCACCCGGAAACATGTTTTCAATGTAGTCTTTAGGAGTATATATTGTTTTAGAGCGAGTTTTGAGCGAGTCATCAATGATTTCATTTTGGAAGGCGATGGCTTCATATTTCATCATATTTAAAAATAAAATTTTTAGCCTTTTATTTAATCATTTATTTATATATTTATTCAATTTAGTAATGTCTTGTTAATTGTAATAGTCTATAATTTATTTATCCCACAATTTGTTTGTTATATGTTAATATGTTAGTTTTGTTTAGATTTTGTTATCTGGTTTTAAGAGCAACTTTTAAGATGTTAATTCTGTCATGATTTAGTGGTGAGCGATGTATAAACGTAAATGCATGTTGGTAAATAAAGTTTAATTGACCTCTAATATATGCTGGTGTTTGATTTATTTTAGTATTAGTGATTGACCTCTAATATATGCTGGTGTTTGATTTATTTTTTTTGCAATGGCTCCTTCCAGTAATGACTTCTGGTCGCAGACTTGCTGTACCCAAGAGTCTTCGTCCTTTCTTTACCGCAATTACTGTAGAAATAAAATAAATGGAGACAAATATTGCAATATAATAAATCAATTTTTTATGAAATGAAAGCGGTTTTAAATTATCGGATTAAGGAAAGAAAAAACCGAGAAATAGAGGCAAAATAATGTCTTTTCTTAATTCAAAATATCTCTCACAGTATGGCAGTTGGTAAAGATAATGAATCTCAGGATACAACCACTTGTTATTCTATAATCGCAGTATTCGATTATAAAATGATCGAACTGATCGTTCTACTATATACTCTCGGACTTACTTTGTAAAGAAAACTAAAGTAAAAGAAAGATTGTAGGATGTGTGAGAGAGATGTGAGAAAAGGATAAGAGAAATGAGTGTGGTGTGGCTCGTATATATAGCCTCTGAGAGGAGAGCTTGGAGAGGAAGCCACAATTAATTAACATGGTAATTGGGCGAGATTCTTGGCGATATTTTAGCCATTGACCAAAAATCTTATTCAAAACTTGGCACAAAAATAACATCTTTCAAGACCCAAGACCCAAAATCGAAGATCCAAGATCCAAGCCCGAGCCTGGCTCGGCGGCGGCGCGCGCGTGGGATCTTTTGGTTCTTCTTCACATTTTTGATACAAGATATAGTTATGTCTATATTTATATCACTCCAACTTTTCTCAAACTAGCAATGTGAGACTTTTGATATGTCCTCACATATGAGCCATTGGGCTTCATTTCTTTTCACACTCAACAATATTTAATGAGCCATTGGGCTATATTAAAAACTGGTCCAACAACTACAATGTCCTAAGAAGTGTTACGATCGTCATTCCTCTCCCAGTGAGAATCATGAGAAGGTTTGCGATGGATTATGCTGTGTGTATGAGTCATTCGTTCGTGAGAGTGGCCTTTGCTTTCCTCTAATGAAGCTTCTAGACTAATATCTCTATGAAACTGGTCTTTGCCTTTCTCAGTTCATGCTGATTTTTTTTACCGTGTATTGAGCTTCATCACTATTGATTATCGTTTTAGTATTGAGGATATCTTCCGCCAAGGTTTCATCAAACCCAACACCGTTTGTGGTGGGTTTTTGTCTTTTAAGCTCTATGAGAATTGTGAGGTCATCTTCGACCTTCCCAAAGATGAATAATTTAAGATTTAACCTTATGCTCCTTTAGAAGGTTTAAATCTTCTCCCTAGATTTTTTCTTGTGAGGTGCTTTGGTTTGTTTTCTTTTCATCCTCTCTTCTTTGGATATTGCAGGATGCTTTCATATCCAGGATGTCCCTTGGACTTCTCCTAACCCATGGACTGAACAACAAATTCTAGCTGTTTTTCTTCTGAACCCCTCTGTTTTTGACAGGGGGATCTCCGAAGCATGATCGTGTTGAATTGTGTGTCGAGTATTGATTAACAAGTTTTACCCTAAAAGAATGTAGTAGTATTTAGGGATCGAATCCACAGATATTTGAGTGCTGTCCAATTCCTATCAATCTCTAATTTGTGTCTAGACCTAATCGGTTTAAAGGGGGTTGTTGTCATGGTTTTTGTAACAACGAATTCAAAATAAACTAAAAAAAGTAAAGTAAGCAGGGAAGTAAATAAGCAAGTGAGCAAAGTGGAGTAGAAAGATTAAAAACAGTGGGTTGTTGGGAACTTTCTAGGGATCATAATCCAACCACACAAACAAGCAGTTAGATAAGATTTTTTAGCGACTTAGTTGGCTATAGTTCTAGAACTCAAAACACAGAATTGTAGTTAACCTACTTTCGCAGAGCTAACTACCTAATCTTTAAACACTTAACAAGTCCTCTTCTGATGTTTGCAATGCAGAAGATCATGTAATAAAAACATGTTCATCAACATTCACAATACTCTATAAGTACACTTTCGTATCTTATAGAGAAATTGCTCGCTTACTCTAGTTCAGGCACTCTGATTCAGCGTGGTAGTGCTTGGATTTACCTAGGTTCAGTCGCAAGGAGATCAATCAAGCAAATATGCATTAACAACAAGAATAGAACGAAGAACCATAATTGAGATCCTGATCTAAAAACCTAATTGATAATTGACCATGAGTATTTTTGAAACCCCTAAACCCAACAAGGAAACTATAAGACATATCTGAGCTAAACATCATCAATAGATAAAAGAAAGCAGTAAAGAAAAAAGGTGAAGAAAGGCTTCTATTGATAAATCAGGTTAAATTTTCTCTACTAATCAATAAAAGCAAAAGTGGCTAAAGGTTTTCTCTGCTATGAAACGAAAAGAATGATCAAAAGACAGTCATAAAAAAAATCTAAAACCATGTATTTATAGTTTTCACTTCTTCTGAGGTGTCTAGGGTCTAGAGAAAAATTAACAAGAATAACATGGGCTTGAAACAGACTTTCTCGGGCTGGAAGAAGATTGGCTGTGGGTGGAGGTCTTCATTGCTTAGGTGGAGGTCTTCGTGGCTGTGGTCCCGGTGATTGGAG